CGCGTTGAGTTGTTCTTCGACAGTTAGCAATGCAATCGTTCTTCGCGTGTCTGTAAGTTTTGTGTCGTTCATACCTGGTCTGACTGTACCGATCGGGCGCCCAATCCCCGTGCACATGGTCACATCGCAGCGTCGAGAGAGCCCGCACGCCTGGAATGCACGAAAATCTCTAGACCCCGATCGCAGACATGCGTGTATACATTTACATATCTTCCTATAATCTCATAAACTCGACCTATCGATCCAGATGCCTGCATGTCTAGAGATCTGTATGTACAGATCGCACATTCACAGAGACAACCAACCGCAGGTCTATAGACTTGAAACAACAGCAGATTTAACGGCCAGTTTATGCCGTGTCTTTAGATCAGGAACAACGGCATCTCGTGCGAGTGTATGCCGGCACGGAACTGGTAGTTGAAAAAAGACGTGCTGGTCGTGATTTGTTGCGCAGAAGCTTTTTTTGCGTGGGAGAGGGACACTCCAGTGTAGGGTCAAACAATGATTGTGAAGGAGCATATATCATTGCCCTCATATGTTATACATTGTCAGTCACTAGCAATATCCCAGTGATACATCTCCATCAGACGTAAATATCATATATTCCGACAAGACACCTAGGGTGTTAATGGCCCCCTTGGTAGAAGACTACTAAACAGAACAGGTGCATAATCAAGACAGCATTCGATTTTTTTTATCAAACAATGTCAACTTTAAGAGTCCTCAAGAAAATGGCACGAAAATCAAGATGATTCCTGGGAAACGAGAGAGAAAATGTGGTTGAGAACCATCGCAAATTTCTGAAATTACCGTTCAGTGGGCAGTCTTAAGCGATGTACTGTTCCGTATCACAGGCGTTCAACGGAAAACCCTATTTCCTTGCCTGTAGTTATTTCCTGGTCTCGCATCCTTCAAAAACTTATACCAAAGAAATCGATGAGGATGGCTTGACGGTCACCTAGGCATCGGCAAAATACATGGTAAACTGTGTGGGAGTTATTATTGGTTTGTACCGAGGTACCGAGGTTCCGAGGCGTAGGCTCATTATTTGAAAACTTGCGTAGCCTGTAACATGCGACAGTTACGAGGAGAACGGTGCCCTCCCCAAAGCATGTATATTCCAAAATACCCTTCCGAAAGTATTTCCATATACACTTCTGGACCATTTTCGCATAACTATAATAGTAACCGGTACATTATTGACATATGGACATGCTTTCCGGATGACCTGTGTTGCTCGTTACCAAAGAAAAGTGTTCATCTGTGATACACATTCTTGTTGAGGATAGAATGCCGTCATGCCTGTCTCCGTGTGATTATATCAGACAGCAGGACTTCTGTAATGCATTTATTGAACAAATTCTCTCATTCTTCAACATCAAACATATTCACACCCCAGTGTACCATTCTCAGGGTGATGGAAAGCGTGAGAGGTAAAATATGTGCGAGAGATGAGATGTTGCATTCAAAACGATGTGCCAGCTTCACTTGTCTGCTATTCGCAAAGAGATTGTCGTACCAAAATTCCCACCATTCTTTCCACGTAAAGAACAGCGAAAAATGACAGCATAAAATTAGGTGCATTTTCCCTCATGTGTGGTCGCGATCCAGTCCTGCTCATGGACACTTGCATCTCTTCCGAGTTCAGATGTGAAGGCCATAGCTATTCCCTCGCAATGCTTGAAAACCTTCATCGCTCTTATTTCTAAGCTGTAATACTTAAGATCAACCCCAGCTGTAATCTTCCACCCCACCCCCTTCCCATGCCACTTGCCTTCAGAAGCCCAGAAATAATACAAATTGGACAATTTTTTTTGAAAGTTATGGGTCGCCTGTAAGGTAAACGACCCCGGTTCTGTCGGGCCAGGTAAATCTGGCTTGATGTATCAAAAATGATTAGGTGCACACTTTAAGGCAAAAAGCAAAGCGCTGAATGTAGGTCCTTTGTAGGACTTCTTCGAAATCTCTTGGCTGGCCGATACAGACTTGAGATTTGGGTGTAGAGAGCAGGGTGTCATCTTTTTTCAAAGTAAAGGAATGAGGGGAAAATGGCAGCTCTAATCGGCAAGCAGCGCCATCTAGCTCCACAGACCTAACAAGATTTAGGGACAGGGAAGTTAATTCATATATAATGCAGTACTGATAACTGCAGCTAGTCATTTTCCAACAATATAAGGGCTGCCTGGGTTAAGCACAGCAGCAACAAGGAGTTTCTAAGCCATGACATGTTATTTCATGAGTGCTTTGAAAATATCAACTGAACGTTGACTGGATGCAACGAATGAGGACCGCTGGGTACCTAACCTGCCACCATACCTGGAAGGTAAGTGAGATCCCTCGCGTCCAAATCCCCCTGGGACCGAACATGGCCAACTATTACCAAAGCAATGGGCGTGAAGGCTCTAGTGTACACCCCACGCTGCTTGAAGCAAACAAATAAAAGTCAGTGCAACATTTGAGGCATTAAAGAAGGGTTTGGAAGTGTAACATACACACCAGCCCCTCCCTCCGTATGGAATATCTTGGCAATGCCGCTGGCTATGATCAAATGCTAAGCTATGCTAATGGTGTGCCCCAAATGGCATGTGCGATGACATATTTCTTTACTTACACCAGTGCTAGAACTATAAGAGCATCTTCATCAAGTGTGTGCTGGGTCACACTTGACGTCAGGAACTATACAAGACGTATCAAGACGTACCTGACTGGCATTTGACAGGGTCCATATGCAGTTTCCTGTTCATTTGGGAGGCTTCGGTCACCCCACCCCCAATATTTGTCCGCTTTTAGCCAAAGCTTATTTTCCTGGCTGGACCTATTTAGAAAAAGCACTGTTAATTTCTTTGATGGCGGCTAGTTGACCCAAGGCCGGATCTAAATAAAGATGGATTTTTTTCCACAACCTGTGGTTTAACTCCCTAGACTTCAACCCCCTTCCAAATCTTTGCTTTTCATTATGTGGTGGTCGACGTGGCTACCATTTAAACGAACTTTTTTTCTTTGATGGCGGCTAGTTAACCCAAGGCCGGATCTAAATAAAGATGGATTTTTTCCCACAACCTGCGGTTTAACTCCCTAGACTTCAACCCCCTTCCAAATCTTTGCTTTTCATTATGTGGTGATCGACGTGGTTACCATTTAAACGAACTTTTAAAAAATAATCCGGGAAGCCCGGAGATTAGTTTTGAAACAATCAAAGAGCCTGCCGATCAGTTATAAAGCGGCAAAGTGCCTCGCTGCGGGGGAGACAACACAATTACGGTCTTAAACCAAAAGGATCTAGGACAATGTGACTAGGATTGACAGAGAAATTCGTAAATTGAAAAAAAAATAATGGAAAGACATCACTGATCCTGGGTGGAGACGTGCATTTCCTGAGAGAGGAGAGGAGAGGAGAGGAGAGGAGAGGAGAGGAGAGAAGAGAGGAGAGGAGAGGGCCTTTTTCCCCTGAGAAGAGAGAAGGCTCTGCAGAGACCAAAGAAAAGCTGTTGAGATCATCAAGGAGAAACTCAGCGTGGAAGTTACGTGTGGTATCGCGGCATGTCATAGCCTAGGAACAAAACGAGAGTCATCGTAATATTCTGACAAAGAAACAGTCTGTCAGACCGACTTTGAACAGAAGTGAGAGATCGTCAGAAGAGTCACGTCTTGGTTTTTCCGAACCACCCGAACGACTCGCCCATCGTCGCTGGATGGTCAGTTGCCCTACTTCATTTGAGACGAACCGTTGGTGTGTTCAGTGCCTAAAATTGTCTTAACTGTAGAGCATCGTGCAGCGAGTTTCGTGACCACGGCCACGACCTCTGATTCTTCGATGATAATGCGTAAGCTGGAGCTTTTCCTAGTGCCACCCTTAGGCCGCACCGTGCAGAGTGCGTGAATGATGACTGGTAAAATAGACAACAGCCACAAAAGTTGAGAATGAACATTGTGCGCGTTTGACACGATGACCGTTGACATAGGTCATAGTTAGTTTTTGCAAAGTAATCCAGCGGAGTTATCTTTTTGTGGTTTTATTCCACAAATCTTTACGACCTCCAAAGCGTATATGTTGATACAATTTTGTGTATTTTTATGGGTGCTAAGGACGCTAAAAGCAACATGGTCACCTCAAGTTCTAAAAGTGCCTCGGACATTTATCATTACCCATAGCTCAGCGGAACCTGGTGTTGTGCTAGGTGGATTCCACGCATCAGGTTTCGTCCAGACACCAATTTTCAGTAAAATCTGAGACATGATCGTGTAAGTCGTGTCGCGCGGATGGAAAGGCTATACGAAGTGATCCCGTAGAAACAGAGATGATCCTGCTCGACCAACCGCGTCTGTTGTTACCGCGCCGCCATTTCCTGCTTCGTCACAGATTGCATCTGGGTTGCAAGAAAACTGCGATAAGGTCAAAACCACCCTGGCGATAACTTCTGCTGACGTCAGGCGATGACGTATATCGGAGAACCGGCCTGCCAACTGAGGAATTCTTCAGATGCTCTCGATGGCAAACGGGTTAGTTCCAGTCAGCGGGTGACTCGTTACCTACGACGTTCGAAAGGAGGCGGTGGTTTCCCTGCAGAGCTTCGATGTTGTACCTGCATGCATGTCAGACGAACACTCGACGCCGAGCTAGCCCGTGGAATCACAACATTGAGGCCATGGTACCCAGTACCTTGCGTCCAGCGTAAATCAATGCCGTAGCCATGGTCCGGCGGTATCAAACAAACAGCCAGATGGGCCAGCTTCCTGTCTTCTAACGCAAACGCGGTCAACGTACGCATCGCCGGCGCGGAGGAAGAGAGCCTCTGCCTTGTGACGGACGTGGCACATGCCGGTGACGTCCAGGTCCGTCTCCAGCAGAGCCTGATCGCTGGCCATCGACCGCGCGGGAGGGTGCGGCCGGTTGCGCGGCAGGCCGGCGCTGGCCGCGCGGGACGAGGCCCGCCGCACCGGGGATCGCCGTGATCGCCGGCGCCCCTCCGATCGGTGCTCACTCCGCGCCGCGACCCGACGCAGCGCGTGTCGTCGTGCTTCGACGCCGGCGGAGGTGAGTGGCGCCGACGATCACGCCAGGCGTGCCGGCTGGGACGGTGTGTGGATTAAACGGTAGCGATTGTTACGGTTAAAAGATATATGGTTTTTGAAATGCTATGGAGAGGTTCGCCCGAGTGCCGGAGAAATGCTCGGGCCTGCTGGGAAATGTTTTGCAGATGATTTTGATAACAGATGAGCATTTTCCTGAAGCAACTTTTCGTTGCCAGCTGATGGATCGCAGAGGAAGAACTGTTGACGGAGCTGGAGGAGGGGCGTGGACGTCGTTAGGGAGAGTACGAGATGTCGCGTTCTTCCCGTTTTTGAGCATGGAACTCGATATTCCAGTGGTCTCCTTTGTTTAACTTTGTAACCAAGTGAGTAAGTTGCGGGCACTTGGCACAAGGCGAACATCTTATTTATGACAAGACCTATTCATTTAGTTTTGAAGTACTTCGAGGTCCAGTTTTCAAGAACGGCCACGGTTTGCGTTTTCTGGCTCATATTTATTGAACCTACGTGAGACGGAAAATGTTACGCCGTTTGTGCGAATGCGTACGGTCGTTGGGCTAAGTCGGTCGGCCCATGCCAATGAGAAAATAAAACAACCGACGCTCTATTCCCATCGTGGATTTATTCAGTGTACAAATACGCACCGAACAACGCAGCACATACCGTAGGGGAAGTACATGCCGGATGTTGTTAATACTCATCGCTGCAACAGGAGATACTATGCCATAGCCATTAAAACGCCTTCAGCTCAACTGATCAATTAAGACCAGCAGCGATGCACGCAGTTTCTTTTAACGTGAGTAAGATTTTTACATCAAATTTAATACAGCCGTTTTCAGGCAGGTTTCTGTTTGCTTATGGCTTCATAGAATTGCTGTGAAATTAAAAGGCAAGAAACAGAGTTACAAAATGAGTTGTTTCTGACTGTGCAAGGTGACGGCACAATTTATATCGCAATAGATACCGCATGCATTGCGAAATCATGATCGGGATATTATATGGTATAGTTTATAACGCATTATTGTTACATTGAAGATATGAGTAAGCACACACTACTGGAACAGAGCGCGGGGGGGAGGGTGGAAGAGAGCTTCTGAAACAAAGGACGACACTTGACAAAGAGCTATGAAACAGAGCATGGTAGAGGAAAGCATAGCGTGTGAAAAGCATAAAGCATAGCGAGAGCAAGTTTGTACGCCCCTCATTTACGTGCAATCCGCTCATTGGTTCATCATAGGGTTAGTTACAAACCATATGGCGTCGAGGGGTTGCAAAGTTAGATTTGGACATATTTGGGAAAATGATGGCTTAATGAAAGGCGTTTAGGGAAAAGCACGATGCCGAATTTCTCTCAATGTTCTAATTTATAGGAATAAGACCCACCATAAGAAATCAAACGTGCAACTCGTCCAATGCGTGATAGGAGACACGAATATGACAAAAATCATCACGGCATATGCATAACACATCTAGTCGTGCGCTGCATAAATGTTGTGCCGGTCAATATCTACTAATGTTGTTTTTCACTTTAAAACATTTCACTACATTAGCGAAGCAAGAAAATCAAACTTTGGTAGCGATTGGACACCAATATAATGATTATTCGTTAGGGAAAATTATGCTCAGCCTGCCCTATAGCCAACATTGCGTATTGACACTTTTTCTAGTCAACCATCTAGTACTTGTGTAATCCGGTGGGCTCCTGTATGCCTGCATGTCATTTTCGCAGCGTGTTTCTTGCCAACCACGACGTATCATTTCATACAAACTCTATACGAAATGCATGTAGTCGGAACTGCGTACAACGTGCTTACCGCTTAAGCTTCGAAGAGTTGCGTGTTTCTGTCGTATCATATGAAATATGAAGAACGGCGTCTTATGGTTGAGACTGTGGCTTGGAAGTGAGGTGGACGGGCCTATTTACCAGTAACAGTTTTCCAACGGCCACAGTCGTCTAGCATCAGCCTCGGGATGTGACGCGACAGGGAAAAGGCAGACCCCCTCCTCACTCATGAATCTGGGAGGATCAATATCTCCATTTGAGAGTGCATCTGTTCTGGACGACTTCCGTCTGCCGCGCTCCGTTAGGTCCCGAGATGCCGATGAACAGAGACTGTCCATTATGAGCAGAAACCCAGACAGCCCATCCGGGTGAAGCATCCACAGCCGGCGAATGAAACTACAGCGGAGTAAGCCGCGAAACGGACAAGAACAAAATTAAGGACATGCTTCCTTCGACAATGCTTCGTTCTTCACCTGTTTCCTGGTTGATATGAGCAGCGTCAAAAACGGCATGTGCAGAATAGGAAATCTTTATATCATTCGTGCATCAAACCACCCTCTGTTGATTATTTAGTGAGCTATGGCAATGATTTACGTGCAGACTTGCTTTTCCAAATTTATCAACATATCAAAATTCAGTGAGCATTGTGAAGACACCTGTTTTAGTCCCATCCAAAACGTAATGCTGCTGCTCCAGTTGTGCATATAGTTCACCATCGGTATTGCCGTGTAACACATGTCGCGATTCCTTTAGGCGAGATGATACAGCAATTCGGAGCAATCCGTTCCAAAAAATGCGGTTGAGTTTATATTTCACCATCCTAAGTGTAATATAACATCACCTGGGCATAGGAGTGGATTAAGTGCTACATCGTGCGCAAACTGTGTACCAACTGATCATTTTTGCCGTTTTTTCTCGCTGGTATTATTTTCACTCAGTAAATGCCGTGATCATAGATATGCAATACCACTACATCGGCGACACTTGTGCTAAAATACTAGCGGGCGTGCGTCAATGAAAATAATGGTAACAGGTGTAAAATGGCACAGACTCACAGGCCTATTGGACGAACTTGGGTAAACCGGGCGAGTCACGGGCAACCCAACCCGATGGTTTTCTTTTGTGAAACGCATGCGATTGGCATTGCCAACGCACGCGTTGATCAGCCCAAATCAACGCTTCGCTTGCGTCCGGGGTCCATCAAAGTTTATCGGGAAACCCCGCGGTGACGTCACCGCGGAGCGCCTGGGCAAGCCACAGCATTGTAAGCCCATAGGAAATGGTCTTTTTCAGACGCAGCCTTCGGGCAGATTGAGAAGGTACAGACGGCTGAAGCGCTTTCTGCACCAGGCAAAACGTATGTTCTCTGGTACGCCAGGTGTGCTTTTGAAGCTCAGCCCTGAATTGCAAGCCATTTGGCCAGACGTTGCAACGCTCACCCAGGTGGTGCGACTGGTACCAACACCTGGGCTATAGATGGTACTAGTACTGTTCGTGAGCTTATGATGCTCATCCAATTGTCCTACATCTTACTTCTTGAAGCGTTCTGCGTGATGGAATGCAAGCTGTGCTTGCTGGGCTTGAAATATCTCAACAACTTGCATGCAAATCCTTTTTTCGGTCACCAAAGCATATTTGGCGTAATTGTCTGTCATTCTAGTCTGAACGTCACATGACATTTGTAACTCTATGGGTCACCTACATGTGTCAACCCCCTAGAGGTTTCTTGGCATGATTGACACTTTCAACCCTTTCAAATTGGGCAAATATTGAGCGTCAGGCATCGACAAGCAACATTTAGAGATAGCCGTCAACATTAGGTGAGCAAGTTGATGGAAGAATAACTTCTCCCGCAAAACGATAATTCTGCCCATTTTTGAAATGCAGACCAAATGTAGAAAGATTGTAACCCGGAGCAAACGAATAATTTCAGTGCATATGTAGCGATGTACCGCCCGTAAAGCATATGTAACATAGAAATACCATACAGATATGCAGCACGATACCAGACAATGATATATTTACAAAATGTGCTGGAGGCGGACGACGAAGCAACAATACCTAAAGGGTCGTAGCATTAGACAAGCAAGGTGTCGTGTTGCCCGCATCGAAGCACACAGAAATGCATCGGATCCTTTGCGTCCAGGCTGACTGGTGGTAGCACGATGTAGTCGGGAATGCGTCACCTGCCTTCTGCGCATTAGAACCACGTGTCCAAGCATGACACTTACCAGCTCCAGGAAGCGTGCCTGGACGTGGAACCTGATAAGCCCCCCCCCCCCCTCTATCCAACCAGCGGAACAGTGAGGAAGTAGTTTGGTCGGCCCGAAACTGCTCCTGGTGGTCAAATGGGTACACATTTATTACTCGGTGGCGGCGCTTCTTTTGAGGCACTTTGGGCACCACCTTAACAAGTTGCAGAACCCACTGCAGTGTCTTCAAAAGAATGTCATTATTTCAGACGGTGATCAAGTGTCGTTTCTTACGATACATTTTAAACAGATGTAATGGCCTGAATTCAACTAGACCTCCAATCGCACATGCAATTGTCGAAATTTGTGCTTAATTTTTCATCATAGCACGCATATCCATTTTTGTAGTTCGGTAGCATTTTACTTTAACTTACCTCATTAGAAACATGGCCCGGCAGCGCGCCGAGAACTTGTCCGCTACGTGCCTACCTGACCCAGCCCAGTCCAAACCAAGTTTTCGGCCGTCTGTCAACCTAGCAGCAGTTCCATGTCAAGCTGTTCATCGATATTCAGGACTCATGATCTGGCTAAAAATTGGTAAGTTAATAACGTTGAGCCTATGGGTTTCAAAACCTGAAAAGGTGACGTGGGCATGCACAACTACCCGTAACGGTTTAGGTCGAAATTTAAGGTCAATCAGAGCGAATTGTTCAAGTAAAGCTCGACATGTGTGCTCGTAGACCACTGTTCAAGCTTTGTGAAAACGTTGAATTGGGGCAAATCATGTATCGCAAAATTTTGTATATCCAACGTAGATTTTCGTAGTTCGAGATGCATGGGACATGTCGTTATTCGCCCGTTAATTTTTAGCTAAATCGCAGCAGTCCAGCATATTGATCGACGGTATGATACAAATATGCCGTTAGCTTGACAGGTGCAGTTTTGTGCACCCGTATTGATTAGGGCCAACATTCCGCCAGCATCTCGTCCAGCTATTGACGTTTTGAGCCTAGTAATTTTGCAGTATCA